TTAAAATGTGATAATCTGACTGGTTATGGAATAAGTATGAGAACCCCAAAACTTATAAAAAGATTATGCTACAGATTGGAATTCTATTAGATGGCATTCTTTCAGTTTCCTTGTTGTATATTCTGGAGTTGGACTATAAACTAGTTTTTACTTTTCTTCGGCATAACGACAGGTCCATTTTCCCTTCTCCCACAAATTAAAATTAATCATAATTTTTCAAAGAATTCTCTATCACCTTTCATTTTTGAATGACATCCTACTTGCTGTAGCCTTCAGGAAATCAATGAATATATTAACTGGAATTAGACTTGGCACCCGTTTCCAAGGAGTTTAACTCAATAATCCTTGGTAGCTTTAGATGGAATTTTTAATAACTGCAAAAGAGATTTTTTAAAACCAACTGTGTATTCTTTTTTTTTTCCAACTGTGTATTCTTAAAGTCATTTCTTCAAACCTATGTTTTCTGAGTTCCCAAATAGAAAACAGAAGGGCAGAATAAAACAAATTATAACAACAATTGCAACCCCACTATAGAAACATACAACTTTTACATTTGTTTATAATAATAAAATTCTTTTACTAGTACAAACTTAAGAGCATTAAAGTGTTTTTTCTTTTAATGTAATAAGCTAATGGTTGACATGAGGAGAAATTAAATTGCTAATTTAGGTAGCATTGTACAAACACAAAAGAACAGTGTATTTCTTTTCACAGTGGTAAGATTCAACTTGAGTGGCAAAGGGACTAGGAGAAGGTGGTCCTGGGGAAGGAAAACTGTAGATATTCAAGAAGTATTTGATACTTTTCGGGCCCTAAAATTCAGAAAATTTTATTTTTCTTTAGTGCCCAGCCCCAGATAAGCCAGGCAGAAACCTCATCTCAGACTAAAAGTTATTAAGTTAATCAGAGAAGGAGTAGACTATCTCAGTCTGAAAGTCAGTGTGGAGCAGACCTGAGTTGCAATCCTGGCTCTACCATTTAGTAACGGTGTGGCTTTTAGCAAGTGACTTCTGTCTTTGAGTTTCAATTTCTGCATCTGTAACATAGGTATAATACCATCAAACATTACAAGGCTGGAGAGAAAGTTGAAAAGGTATGTATTATATGTAAAGTGCCTGGCTCACAGCAGGCACTCAGTAAATATTCATGGACTTCTCCCTCTTCCCTGTCCCGTCTGGAAATGAAGTTTGACAGCTAAATAGCATTCTCTTCACTCTCAAAGCTACTGTGGTGAGAAGAAAGACAGAAACAACTAAATAAAACAATGAAACTCCTTGATCTGAAATTTCAAAGTAGATAACTAAGTATTCTCTAGTAAGAGAAATAAATAAAACTAATAAGAAAAAGAATGATGGAATTATAAAACCCATTGAAAAGTTATTAAGATACTATCAATCATTTCCATTTTCCTCTTGGCTGTGATGATGAGACTACATTTCATAATCAGTGAGGAGAGACATTACCCAAACTTTGAAAAGTGAAATTAAAAGTGTTTCATAAAAACAAAAATTGCTGCCACTTTCCAGATGTTTTATTAGAAAACGATTTCAAAATGGAAGTAAAGCCTTTCACTCATTCATCTGAGATGACCTGGTGAGGTGTCTACTATGTGCCTACCACCATACTAGGTGGCAGAGGCATACAAGAGAAAGTGAAGGAACATTTGCTAAAGGCACAGCATAGGCCAGGTGGTGTTAGGCATATAACATCATCTCACTTGGCCAGTGCCCTATTTTACAAATGAGGAGCCAGGCTCTGAGAGGATAAATAACTTATCTGAAGTCACAGGTGTAAGTGATTGAATCAAAATTTTAACCAAGATCTCACTAGCACCAAAGCCTATGGTTTTTCCGTTATACCCACTCCTTACTTATTGACATGGTTAGGTTAGACCAGGTCATTATGTGAAAACTGGCATTATGTGAAAATGGAGGATGACCACATCAGATCACAAAATGGAGGATGACTACATAATTACATGTCAAATTACATCATTATGTAACTGCCAAATTACATCATTACATAACTGCCAAATTACATTATTATGTAACTGTCAAACCACTGAGAACCATGACCCAACCAAGCTGACACATAACCTTAACTATCACAGCCTGGGTTACTCTCATCTTGCACCTCAGTGTTTGTTACTGCCGAATGTATATCGTTAATGGGCAAAATAGTTGGATAGCAGATTTTTTACTATTGTAAATAAGAAATGTCAGATAACAAGACAGTTGATAAGTGAGGAGTAGGTGTATTCACCCTCCTCAAAGAATTACAAACCTAGTTGACAAGACACAATACTGACTGATGAAACTTTAAATAAGGGGTTATTAATAAGGAGGCACTTACTCACTAGTCCTGTGCCATTCTATGGAAAGAAGGAACACTTACTACATGCTGTTGGTTCCCTCAGATGATGAATTGCCTGTCTCTAAAAAATTTCTATTTGACTGGCTCACAGGAATAGTTTTGGTACATCTTGGCCTAAGGCCTACAGATAATTCTAAGTTAATGTCAAACAGAAGTGTGCTTTCTACAATAAGTATCATAGGTATGACTACCTTTTACATCTATTTTCTTCTGTATTTGGGTATAAGCTATGTGCAGGTACACATGCATGAAATCCCTAATCTGCTTTATACTTTTCTATCTCTTTGGCAATCTATTCAATATGCTAACAGGCTTTCAGCTCGATAGCATTTTAGGATGAAAGACAGATGTCTCAAGCTCTGTGTCTTTAGACTCTCTCTTGTTTTCCAGGAATGGGGTTAGGCTAGACTGTGGTCAGGCTGGCACCTGCTCAGCCGTCTGGATGACCCTGCATTGTTCACAGTTTGTTAAAAGTACTACACTACTTCGTGCTTTCTTCTCTAACTACATTTTATAGATCTGTGTTAAATTATATAATCAAACAATTCAACTCATTTACATTCCCCGGTCATGTTATAATGTTTTCAAAGAGGACCATTCCAGGTATGCATGCTAGGGATCAAGGCACATGTCTTGAATTCTACTACATACCAACTCTTACACAAAAATTGTTGGATGAGGCCTATTTCCTTCTTTTTGGAGTATTCTAGAATATTTCTGTAAGAATGCAAACTTCACAAAGGTAAATACTATGTGTTTTTCTACATTTTTTGGTTGTACCATCTCTAGTATATTTTATGTATAAAAATACCCTATTCAATATAAATCAGTGAACAAAATAAAATTCACTGCCTGAGAATTTTCCATGGAGTGAAGATAGTAGCATTAAAATTTCCAAATAAAGTTCTAGAAGTCTAACGCTTAAATGTTACTGGGCATATCATTTTCTCCATTTTGTGCGGCTTTATTTTGAACTCCACTATCTACAATGGTTTACGTTGGCAAGGTAACTGACGAGAATCAGAGTACTGTCATTATTCTGACGATAAAGCCCTTCATGGACAACTAGACAAAAGCAAAACTTCAACAAACTAGAATATTTAGAAACAGAAATATTACGGCTAATTTTCTGGTTAAACAGGAGCTGATCAATAATCTTTTTTACATCAATTATTGTTGTTGAAAATCTTTCCAAGTGATTTACTTGCTAAGCAGATATATCACTACTTCATATTACTAGAGAAAAACCTTTGAAATCCAAACACTTAACCCCCTGTCTCGTAAACGCCTTTCCTGATGCTTAGCTTTGTGCTCTGCACTAGACAGAAAAGAGCGACCTACCCAGCAGTGCTTGCTGCAGGTACAAGAGGGGAGCTGTAAAGCTTTTCAATTTAGTAAGTGTTTACCAAACTTTTACTATATATGAAGCACTTGCCACTTACTATAAGGAACAGAGGAGACTCCTCAAGGAGCTTGGCTTAATTGTAAAGATTCATACTTTGTTTTCTGAGGTAAATTCTCTATCAATTACATCGTTCTCCAAAGCAAGTACAAAAGCACATTTCAAAATGTTTGATCTGAATTTTTATTATCCATTCTTCTGTTCCTCTCCTAGAATGTGAATATTAAACAGCACTCCTATTGATAATGGGAATTCAGTTGTGATTTTTCAAACTGTCTCAATTGGATTAGGTGGGTGGAAGAGGTGGGAGTAGTACATCAGAATCTTGGGGAAAGACGGGGAGAGTAGCTAGAGAAGTAATATATGTAGTCTGAAAACAAAGCAGTTCTTTTTGCCAATATTTTCATGTGTTTTTAGTCATACTAGTTAATGTCTTAAAATTCAAATAATATTAAAATAGGGCATGTGTTTTAAAAAAAAGGGGTTGAGAAATATCAGTGTAGGGGAATTTTAAAAAACTCAAGAAATTAAGAGACTTCATATTTTCTCTCCAGACAAAAGTGAATATAGAAGATATTTGAAAAATGTTTTGAATAAAAGCAGTGGTCAATTAACCCAAAACACATGCAATTCAATAAATACACACATAGGACATTGTATTGCTCGCATAGAATTGTGTCTAGGAAGTGAATAGACTCAGGGTCTAAACTGAGTGGAAAAGGAATTTGTAAATCTCTAAATACAGTAAGATACCTTTGCAACTCTGAGCACATGTATTTTTATTCTGATATTTTATGTTTCCAGCTGTTTATTACTTTTGTAAAATTTCGCAGTAAGAGCTACCTATTACCTCCCTCACCTCTACCTCCTGGTGACTTCCACACAATAAACATAAAGCTGGGGACACTGCTGAGTCAGACTGCAAGCTGCTATGAACTCTGAGCTTCCTTCTCATCAAGCTGGGTATCCAAAGACAACGAAGATTTTCAATTTCGATTCTTGGCTTTCAGTCCCAGAACCACCTTGCTGCATGACATTTTCACAGAACATGTTATTTCCACCCTGCTGTCAGCTTGCAGATCACTGATAAGGTTCAAATCCATCAGTTCCCAGAGTTGGAGGCAGATTGAAAGAATGTGCATAGTACAGGCCCTCCCAACCCAGTGGCTTTATGGGCATGTGTGATGGATACAGCCCCACCCCCTTAAGTCCAAGGAATACCTACCTCTAGCTTCAGAACATCATGCTGAAGTTTACGCTGAAATTCAAGGAAGTTTTTGATTGTCAGCTTCCCCTTGAGATCAGGTCCAAAAAAGTAGGTTGTGAGGGCTGAACACAAGCCAGACTTGAGGGTGTTACCAGTAGTAGAACGGTCTCTGTGACGCATACCCATGCTGGTTTGGGAGCGAATGATGCTCTGAACCTAATAAAAAAGCAAACCCCCATCCAGTAAAAAAAAAAAAGTTAAAACTTGAAATAAAATATAGAAAAGTAAGAATAATAATTGATTTTATTAATTATTATTTGGCTGCACTGTGTTACAATTATCTCTTAATTCTCACAGCAATCATATAAGGTAAGTCCTATTATAGAATTAAATATTACTTACTCAAGGTCATGTGGCTAGCAAGTAACAAACAAGATTCTAACACAGGCAGGCTGGCACTTTTAAAATTGGGATGCTCTTGGAAAACCTCTCTTCAGAAAAAGAAAAAAATTGTTTTTGAGACTCAAAACCTCCCTCTCGCACTCAACTAGGAGAACAATTATCAACCTCACAGTAATACCTTCCATATCTCAGGAGACTTGTAAAAATTTCACACCTCTCACTTCTGACTCTGCAGCTGTGGTAAGAGGAGCAGCATAGCTATAGGCAGATACCTGACATCTAAGATATATAACACATTTAAGAGAATGATGCATGAAATACGAAGTAGATATGAAAAATTCTCCAAGAAAACATGGGAAATTAGTTTAATCTCTGAGTATGCTTTAAGTGAGTTTTTTGAGGAAGGATAATTTTTGAGACTAGCAGCAAGTGGCCTAACTATGTAAATGAGATTTTTGAGGCAAGTTTGATTGCTATAACTTTTTTTTAAAAGACCAGCTCCTGCAGTCATTTCTACCTCTTTATTAGCTAAACAAAAAAAGCTGTTCAGAAAATTAAATTAGGGCTATATAAAGATAAATAATAAAGAATAATACATATACCCTCTGGGTTACGATTTTTAAAGTGTCAATTAGAAAAACATAATACTTAAAAACGTAAGACTTATAACAACTGATTTACCTTAATTAAATGTCTTTTATTTTATTTTATCTATTACCTGCAACCATAAAAAGGGACTTACTTTTTTTTAAAGATAGTATTTTTCTTAAAAGATTAATCTCTGCTTATTATAGTAAAAAGACAAAAAATACAGAAATAAAGTAGGAAGTGGTAATCTCCCACAATCCTACCCTCCAGATAACTGTTAACACTTATTTAATTCATATACTTTCAGATTTTTTTTCTATATATGTACTCATATGTATACATATACACACATAAAGACATTCTTTTACCTAAATGGGATTTTATTCTGTTACCTATCTTTTTTATTTAACAATTTGTTCAATGTTAATACATATATATTTACTTCATACTTTTTAATGGCTGCACAGTATTTTATCATATGGAATTTAACCAATTCCTTACTGACAGCCATTAAACTTGTTTTATTAACAAAGAAGCAACAGATATTTAGTTTATATTTAATTTATATTCTGTGCTCTTATCCATTTATTTCCTTAGAATAAACATTTAAAAGAATTGGTATATCAAAGGGTATGTACCTAAAATGGTGATACATGTTGCCAAACCAAATTCATTGCCCTGGACTTAATTTCAACTCATAGTGACCCTATAGGACAGGGCAGCACTGCCCCACAGGGTTTTCAAGGCTGTAATCCTTACAGAAGCAGACTGCCACATCTTTCTCCTGTGGAGCAGCTAGTGGATTTGAACCGCTGACCTTTCAGTTAGCAGACGAGCACTTAACCACTGTGCTACCAGGCTCCCCAGAAAGACTGAACCAATTTACATATCCACCAACAATTTACGTGTGCTTATTTTCCTAGACTCTAGCCAGCACTTGCCATTATCTTTAAATGTATAATCTGAAAGATCAAAAATGGTATTTCACTGTTGTTTTAATTTACATTTCTTTGAGTTTTACTAAATGAAGCATCTTTTCATATGTGGCACAGTGGTTAAGAGCTACAGTTGCTTACCATAACAGTCAGCAGTTCAAATCCACCAGCCACTCCTTGGAACCCTATGGGACAGTTACACTCTGTCCTATGGGGTCGCTATGAGTCAGTATCAACTTGGCAACAGGTTTTTATCGGACATTTAAATTTCTTCTTTTGTGCAGTGCCTTTGCCCATTTTCCTATGGGGAGACGGGACGATACCTCTCTTTTTCTTACTGATTTATAAGATTTCGTTACATATTAAGGATACTGTGTCAGAGACTGGCTAGCTGTTTGCCAAACTCATTTCCTCTCCTTCCTGGGCACCAGCTAGACTATTACACGACTTCCTTTGGCATTGTATACGGCTGTTGCACTGAGTTCTAGCCAATAGAACTCAGAAGAAGTGTTATGTGTCACTTTAGGCCTAGCCCATAAAAACCTCTCAAGTATAATCCTTCACACTCTTTATCCTTCTGTTGCTACCTTGGAAGCCACATAATGAATGTGGCAGGGTCACAATATGTAAAAAGCCTGTGTGTCCCTGAATCAATGCTTGGAGAACCATCTATACCTGTTTTAGAGTTTATATGAGTAAGAAATAAATTCCCATTGTGTTAAGCCACTGAAATGTTGAAAATATTTATGAAAAAAGTTGAAGCTATATATCCGCAAAAGAATTTTACCTTGTCAGTGATGTATTTCTTCAAACACAAAGTCTTTATATATTCCTAACTTATTGGGCAATCTTTCTACCCAACAGCATGATGAAGTAGAGAAAACAAAGGCTTTGTAGTCAGGAAAGATCTCTTTAAACCCACTACTTACTACTTAGTAGTTAAATCTACTTGAACAAAGTTATTCAACATCTAGTCTCAGTTTCTTTATGTAAAATGGAGACAATATCACTTGTGCTTACAGGGTTGCTGTAAGAATGGGAGATAGTGCACACAAGCATTCCTAGATTAAAGGCTTCCACAGACTGAGCATTCAACAAGTAATAGCAGTTATTATAATTTAGATTAGGTACTCAGCAATACTATCATACTGATCTGAACATAAATCCATCACCTTTTTTAGACCTAAAGGAAGTAAAACTGAGATTACTTCAGTAGAGCTTAATAAATAGTACATTACATTGCTAACATGCAAAGAATTTAATTTTTCTCCCCACAAGAATATTGCATCGTTATGCATAACTAAAAGACAGCAGTGAAGCAGATATTTCAAAATCATTTGCAATTCAAAGTTTTTTACATAGTTTATAAAATCCATTTATCTTTTAAAAATCCAATTTGACAAACTGACAGATGAGTGGAGGTAACAACATAGTAGCAAAATGTTCTATAGGAAGCAGTACAGAAGAAAGAATGAGGGTTTTGAAGTCTCAAAGATGAAAAGAGTCAGAGAGGAAGACTTTGCAGTGGATGATCCACTGTAAATACTATCAGAGAATCCACTATTCCTCAATAAGGAAGTACTATCTGTTACAGTGAAGGATCCCTGGTGGTGCAGTGGTTAAGCACTTGGCTGCTAGTCAGAAGGTCAGTGGTTCGAACCCACCAGCTGCTCCATGGGAGAAAGATGTGGCAGTCTGCTTCTGTAAGGATTTACAGTCTTGGAAACCCTAGCGGGCAGTTCTACTCTGTCCTATAGGGTTGCTATGAATTGAAATTGTCTCGACGGTTTGGTTTTTTGTTTGTTTTTTTCATCTGTTATAGTAGCTGTTTAGTTATTCCTAAACCATTTAATCTATAGGTCAAATAACATATGTTAATGAAGAGGAGATGTTAACAAAACTCTCTGGCTCTATAAAGGGTGGGATAGTATAATAGAAAGACATTGGATAGAGAGTCAGCAGACATGGGGTCTGATTCTGCTACTCTGTAGTGAAAGCAGAATTTAGCAAGTCATCTAACCTCTTTTGGCCTTAGTTTTCTCATTAGAAAAGTTCAGGGTGAGAGTACATTATGTCTAAGGCTCCGTATAGCTCAAACATCTCTAGGATGAGATCATAAATGCTGTAGCTATGCTTTTCTGGGGGTGGGAGGTGGGGAGTGGGGGTTCGTGTTTTAGCATGTAAACAAGATTAGTGTCATTCATTTCTCAAACACATGGAGACTCAAAAGACATGCATACAATAGATATTATAATTATTTAAGTTGACATTTTTAAGACTTTAAATGGAAATATAGGATAATCGGAACAACGCTTCTTCTATTTGAAGTCATTTCACAATTCATTTTGCCTGTCAGAGTCTGAGAACCTAAGAATTTCCCAATACCAGTAAACCAGAGGAGCCCTGATGGCGAAGTGGTCAAGAGCTACGGCTTCTAACCACAAGGTCAGCAGTTTGAATCCACCAGCCATTCCTAGGAAATCCTATGAGGCAGTTCTACCCTGTCCTATAGGGTTACTATGAGTGAACCAGTATTGGGCATCAGGACCTGTCATGATTTAAATCTTGCCTATGGCTATAAATATTGCAGCTTATATCATTCCCATGGAAGCATTTTAGTCTTTCTTCACTGGAAACTTTATGTTAGCAGCAAAAATTGTAGTGCTGAGATTGTGCGTGCAACTGATTGGAAAACAGAAGTATTTTTAGGGAAGATTAATGTTAGGTCATCTGCATTAACGATTAATAATGGCACGGCCCAAATACTGTCCTATGTGTAAAGTATCACTACTAGTAGTGTTCTTTCATTAAAATTTCTTTTTTTTATTGTGCTTTAGAAGAAGGTTTACAGAGAAAATTAGTTTCTCATTAAACAATTAATACATATGTTCTTTTGTGACATTGGTTGCCAACTCCACAACGTGTCAACACTCTCCCCTTCTTGACCTTGGGTTCCCCATTAACAGCTTTCCTGTACCCTCCTGCCTTCTCATCCTTGCCCCTGCGCTGGTGTGCCCCTTTAGCCTCATTTTGTTTTATGGGCCTGCCGAATCTTTCGCTGAAGGGTGAACCTCAGGAGTTTAATGGTGTCCAGGGGCCATACTCTCGGGGTTTCTCCAGTCTCTGTCAGACCAGTAAGTCTGGTCTTTTTTTTTTTCTTTCTGTGAGTTAGAATTTTCTTCTACATTTTTTTCCAGCTCTCTCCGGGACCCTCTATTGTGATCCCTGTCAGAGCAGTCGGTGGTGGTAACCAGGCACCATCTAGTTGTGCTGGACTCAGTCTGGTGGAGGCTTTGGTAGTTGTGGACCATTAGTTCATCATTAAAACTTTTTTTTTTTTAAAAGTATAGTCGATTTTCAGTTTCGGCAGTAGTTATGTTTAATAAAGTCACCGCAAACATGAAACCATTGCTCCTAGGGGAAATACAGGGTTAGGTTCCTACAAGCATCTGGTAATAACATTTTCTATCCAGTACAGTAATGCAAAGAAAGAAAGTTCTGGAAAAAAATTAAACAAAGATTCAGAATTTAAAATTTTATAAAAACATGAACTAAAACCTTACTTTTAATGGAGCCTTTCAACTTTGGCTTGCCCCATGAAAACCACGGAATAGGTTGGTGGAACATTGAAAACCTATTCTTCCATATAACTCTTCTCCTGTATAACATTTAGCAAGTAATTTTAAAATTCTTCTGCAACTTCCTGATCTGCAGAACCTGGCCATCTGCAAGTTTTGACATTTTTCATGCCAGAAGGTCTTTTGAAACGTGTGAGCCAGCCAGCACTGGCCAAGGAAAGTTTAACATTTTCCTGACCCAGGTAAAGTAACTGAACATTTCTTTGGCTTGTAGCCGCAGAGCAATGTTGTTCATTATGCTTTTTAAAAAAAAAAAAAATCAGTAGCCAGTTCATAAATTTGCAAATTTAGTCGCCTTTCCATCTTTTCCATAGCTTCCTCATGCACTACAGATGTTTAGTACTTTCTGAAGCAGCCTCATGTAAGATCAATGAATTTCCCCTCCCTTTTTCTGGATGTATGACATTGTTGATTCATTAACATTAAATGCAAGGCCAACAGCACTATCACTTACACCTGAATGAAGCCCATCTAACATACATTCTCTCTGTCAGGCACATTACAGCCTTCTTGCACTTAGGAACACTAGACAGCACTTCAGTACTATGCCTGGAGGCCATTTAAAACAGCGAAATCACCAATAAAAACCAAACAAATGTGAAAAACATGTCACTGAACAGATTGTGAAAAGGACTCTTTTTTTTTTAAAAAAAAAAAAAACAATATAAGAGCTGAAACAAGAAGGCAGAGTGTTGCCTTGTTTTTTTTTTTTTAATTGTACTTCAGGTGAAGGTTTACAGAACAAATAGTTTCTCATGAAACAGTAGTACACGTATTGTTTTATGACATTGGTTAACAACCCTACAACATGTCAACCCTCTCTCTTTTCGACTTTTTTTTTTTGGTGTGAAAATACACATAGCCGAAGATACACCATTTCAAAAATTTCTACATGAACAGTTCAGTGACATCGACTACGCTCTTCCAATTGTGCTGCTATTCTCACTTTAGATGAAGGTTTACAGAACAAAACAGTTTCTCATTGAACAGTCAGTGCACATGTTGCCCTATGACAATGGTTAACAACCTTACTACACATCAACACTGTCCTTACTCAACTTTGGGTTTCCTATCACCAGCCTTCCTGTCCCCTTCTGCCTTCTAGCCCTTGTCCCTGGACTGCTGTGCCTCGTTAGTTCCGTTTTGTTTTATGGGGCGTGAGCGTTGCCTTGTTTGACGTTAGCTGGGAATGTGCACAGTGGGTGACTCAAATTTTTCGTCACCCTCACGTGTTTGTAAATGATCATGAAAGTGCTGCAAGTAGTAATTCTGGGTTATAAATACATTTTTAAAATTTAAATTTCACAGTGATAAAATATATATAAATTTGCTATTTCAACCATTTTTAAGTGTACAATTCAGTGACACTATTACATTCACCATGTGCAACCATCACTACTACTGATTTCCAAATATTTCCATCACCCTAAACAGAAACTCACTATCCCTTAAGCAATAACTCACCATTTCTGCCTTCTCCTAGCCCCTAATAAACTTTGGTCTCTATGCATTTAACTATTCTGGATATTTCATATAAGTGGGATCATACAATATTTGTCCTTTTGTGTCTGACCAATTTCACGGAGCGTGTGTTCAAGCCTCATCCATGTTGTAGCATGTAACAGAACTTCATTTCTTTCACTTAAAAAGACAAGATTTAATGGTTTGACTGAGACTGGAGAAACCCCAATAAATCAGCCAACTTAGGAGTAATGGACACATTCTTGAAAAATAAAGATATGCCATGTTGGACTAGGGTTAGCATCTAGATCTAATTGATGGACTGAATATTCAGGCAAAATCAAAAGTAAGGCAAGAGAAGTACTCTAACAAGGATTCATGAGCAAATGAAAGGGTCTCAATGGGAATAAGCTCTAGCTTCTTAAATTTAGAAAAGCTTGAGGTAATAAAATTCTTCTCATTCCAGGACTACAAACAAGACTGCCTCAGTTCAAATCTCTAGTACATCACTAAAACTGACTGAGAAGGATGGAAGGTAAAGCAAATTTAAAAAAATAGCAAAATAAGTGAGTTCTCTTTATCATCATCTGAGGCTGCCTGGTAGTACCAGTAAAATGCAGGATTATGGCAAAGTGAAGGTATTAGATGGATTCAGAGTACAAATATGGTTAAATGTCTCTGTGCAGTGTCTTATTTTAAAGATATACTACACCTGATACTTTCCCCCATTTTCTGCAATATTTGCCTCTTTCCAAATTTTGAGAATACAAAAATGCTTTCTCCTATGTATGTATTTTTTCTGTTTTGAAGCCACTTTTGGCAACCATAATAATTATATCTGGAACAGTATCATGGCCCTTCAACGGCAGAAGTTCTATGGAAATGTAATCTAGGATTCAGAGGAATAGTATTCATGTATGGTTGGGATCTACTACAGTCAAAAGTGTGGCAGCATTTTTCAATCTGTTCTATAGAAATCCATTAAGAACATATTCATCCTTGTATCCTGGAACTGCCTGGCACATAGGAACTGTTTGATAAATGTTGAATGAATGCTCTTATGACTGAATAGCCATAACAGCCTCCTAGCTGGAGGCATATAGTCTAATTTACATTAGGGAAACAGAGCAACCTTGACCTTAATCATTTGCTCAAATAATTCCTTACGTTTCAGAGCAGTAGAAAAAAACCTCACACCTGCTAAAAGTAAGGCTAACATTGACAGATGATACATAAGATTCTTCAGAAACTAGGATAGCATTGAGTATACTGACCAAGGCCAAAGCATCTCTGAGGCAGGTGAAAACGTGTTAAATATTAATGTACAGGTAGTCCCCGGCTTATGACGTATTTGAGTTACAACAAACCGTACGTAGGACCATCCATTTTTTTTTGGTACTTCTTATCATAGTACCATGTACCACATACAACGTTGCAGCACATAATTTGTTGATGTTCACTCACAGATGTTTAATTTTATGATTTACTGTTCAAAACACTGCCGTATAGCAGGTTGAAACATTGCATCTTCCTGGGAGGAAGTTATGGGAAAATGCCTGCTGTGGGTATGGAAAAAATCACCGAGTTATGTGAACACGCTCCAAGCATTTCATCAGTATATCATCATGGAAGAGATCAGTGGAAAAATCATCCATATGACAAGAATGCTGAATTTAGAACTTGATATTGCCGATGCGCAACAGCTTATAGATCACAAAAACGGGAACTGACAGACCAGCACTTAACGGATTTGGAAGAGGAAAGAAACGCTGAAGAAATAATGAGGAAGATGAAGGAGAGAAGTTGTCAAATTTTACAGTGAAAGGATTAGCTGAAGTTTCTTCTAAACCAAATCAGGGACTTCAGTTGCTTGAAAACATGGGCCCAAACACTGATCACTTTGCTAAAGTTGATAGGCAGATTTGAGAAGGAGTAAGATGTTACTGGAAAATATATGAAGAAAAAAAAAAGGGTCATAAAGACAGCTCTCACTAATTTTCTGAACAGAAACACCACCCCCGTTCCTAGGGATTATCCAGATGATCCAGAACCTTCCACTAGTGGAGTTATTACCACAGCTAACAAAGTGCCAACACTGTCCAACTCTTCTTCATTGTCAGAGTAAATTTTTATGATTTGTGTATTTTTTTATGTATGTATTAAAACATATTTGTAATTTTACATGTAATGTTTCCAATCCCCAAAGACAAATAAAGATCATATTTTTAAGATACTGATAATAAAAGGCAATAATAATGAAAACTAAAAGCAAACAAAAAATCAGGTATTCAACTTATGTCAGAATTGACTTACGAGGCAGTCGTCGGAAAGGAACCCTGACGTAAGTTGGGGACTACATGTATTTCAAGGAACTCTCCAGGACAACTTGCCTGTTCAAACTCCTCCATGTCTACTTCTCCATCTCCATTCAAGTCAAACATCTTGAAGGCAATTTCAAAATTTCTCTGAGGAGCTACAAGTAAAAAGGAAGGAAGGGAGGGAGGGAGGAATGGAGAAAGGAAGAAAGGAAAGAAGGAGGGGAAAAACAAAAAAAAATTTAGAAGGCATTGACCAAAAAAAAAAAAAAAATTTCTTTAAGGAAAAGAGATGACTAAACAATAAAATGTAATATCATCAAAGTCACAGAACACCACTGTATTTATCTAGATCAATCTTTTAGCAATACTCCTTAAAACCAAAATAGAATTTTACTGTAGTCAGTAAAGATAGAACTTATCTATCTTTAGGTTTCAACACATTCTATCTTAAATACTTTAACTTTGCATTCTTAGACACCATCCCCTTACCTGTTTACTATTAATGTTGTTGCTTAAATGTAGTATTATTTACCTGGGCAAGAAAGTCTGTCTGGGGTGAGACATACTGTTGGACAGCAAGAAGTTGAAAATCTACGTCTCTGTCTTGCCTTAAAACAAGCTAGATTCTTTAGCGCTCCTCCCAAAACCAAACCCGCTGCTGTCAAGTTGATTCTGGCTCATAGCAACCCTATAGGATAGAGCAGAACTGCTCCATAGGGTTTCCAAGGAGCGCTGGTGGATTTGAACTGCCGGCCTTTTGGTTAGCAGTTGTAATCACTGCACCACCAGGGCCCCTTAGTGCTCCTAGATCAATCAAAATATAAGTAATATAGTTTGTGCACTGGAATAAAAGAAATTTATTGAATGTTGAATCATATTGAATATTGAATGTTTCTGATGAAAAAAGACTGACACCTCCTTCTTTTGGTCCTTCAAATTTATATAGCCCTAGAGAATAAAATAAAATATTTAATATATCCTAGTAACTTTGAATTAAATTTGCAGTTAATGTTACTCTTTTTTTGTGTGACAAACTACATATAACATAACATTTGCCATTTTAACCATTTTAAGTGTACAACTCACTGGCTTTAATTAATTCTATGCACAATGATCACTACTATTTGTTAACAAAACTTTTTCATTACCTTAAACAGAAACTGTTAAGAAGCAGTTAATGCCATTCTGATTCTAAAAAAAAAAAAAACTATCTATACAGACATATATAGATAGATAATACAGATAAAAAAGTTAAAAATATACAGATTATATAGACAAAAAAGTAAAAAATTATGTATTTTATGCATAATTGTAGAGAGTCAACATTCCCATCTTGCTCATGAATCTGTCAACAGCTATATCTTCTGGGCTTAAATTCCATTTTCAGCCGCTAGGCTGGTAAGCTCCTGGCTTTCTGTTGCCTGGATGAATCACGTGCCTGTCTGCTTCCAATGCTACTTCACCTGATATTGGCCTCCAATGGGTTTGCTCTTCTTTAGGTCACAACCTCAATTGCTGGGAAAGGATGCAGTTCGGGAAATTCAATTTTTATATATTTTTATGTATTTATTGCTGCTTCTACCTGTCTGAATGCTATCTTTTACAGAGGAGTGACTATGTGCCAAGCATTGAGCTAGATAATTTAAAGCTGTTTATTATATGACTTCGTACTCTCAACGAAGACTTCTGTTTATTATTTAAACAGAGGAAGAAACTGGGGCTCAAAGCAGTCAAATCACTAGCTCAAGATCACACAACCAATATGTGGCAGAAGTGGAAGGTGAACCCAGGTCAACACTGATTCCAAAGTCCATAAGCTTTTCATTATGCCTCATGGCCTCTGGTATAAATACAGAAGTAATTATGATAATAAAAACATACTCTTTATTTTGATACATTTTGATCTAGAAACAAAACAAACCCACTGGTTATGTCAGTCCCTGCAAAAGATGGCAGTTCCAAACTGCTCAGCTCATTCTATATTCTATATTCAGTACTTTAGACTGCACCAGCTGGAGACCCATAGGCTACTTTAGGTTTTAGTGTATCTTTCTCATATGTTTTTTTAAAATGCTGAATATGAATCTTTAAATAGGAACCACACTTTCCTGTTTTTCCCTATTGTCTCACACTTGGTCCACTTCATTCTAGTTTTTTCACCTGAGAAGCTTTCAATTTATTAAAATTTAGCATAAATGCTGGTGGGAATGCAAAATGGTACAACCATTTTGGAAAATGATTTGGTGCTTCCTTAGAAAGCTAGAAATAGAAATACCATATGACTCAGCAATCCCACTTCTAGGAATATATCCTAGAGAAGTAAGAGCCGTCACACAAATAGACATAAGCACACCCATGTTCTTTGCAGCATTATTCATGATAGCAAAAAGATGGAAACAACCTAGATGCCCAGCAGTAGATGAATGGATAAACTATGGTATAGTCACACAGTGAAGTACTACAAAATGATAAAGAACAATGACGAATCTGCAAAGCATCTCACAACATGGATGAATCTGGAGGGCATTATGCTGAGTGAAATAACTCAATCACAAAAGGATAAATATTGTATGAGACAACTACTATAAAAACTCATGAAAAGGTTTACACACAAAAAGAAACAATCTTTGATGGTTATGCAGGAGGGGAGAGGTGGGGATGGAAAAACACTAAATAGACAATAGATAAGTGGTAACTTTAATGAAGGGTAAGACAGTACACAATACTGGGGAAGCCAGCACAACTTGTCCAAGGCAAGGTCATGGAAGCTCCACAGACACATTCAAACTCCTGAGGGACTGAATTATTGGGCTGAGGGCTGCGGGGACCATGGTCTTGGGGAACATCTACCTCAATTGGCATAACATAGTTTATAACGAAAACGTTTTACATTCTACTTTGGTGAGTGGCATCTGGGCTCTTAAAAGCTTGTGAGTGGCCATCTAAGATACTCCACTGGTCTCACCCCTTTGGAGCAAGGGAGAATGAAGAAAACCAAAGACACAAGGGAAAGATTAGTTCAAAGGACTAATGGACCACGACTTCCACAGCCTCCACCAGACTGAGTTCAGCATGAGACGGTGCCTGGGTACCACCACAGACTGCTCTGACAGGGATCACAATAGAGTGTCCTGGACAGAGCTGGAGAAAAATGTAGAACAAAATTCTCACACACAGAAAAAGACCAGACTTACTGGTTTGACAGAGACTGGAGAAACCCCGAGAGTATGGCCTCCGGACATCCTTTTAGCTCAGTAATGAAGTCACTTCTGAGGTTCACCTTTCAGCCAAAGATTAGACAGGTCCATAAAACAAAACAGACTAAAGAGGCACACCAGCCCACGGGCAAGGACTAGAAGGTAGGAGAGGACAGGAAAGCTGGTAATGGAGAACCCAAGTTCGAGAAGGGAGAGTGTTGACATGTCGTGGGGTTGGTAACCAATGTCACAAGACAATATGTGTACTAACTGTTTAATAAGAAGCTCGTTTAGTCTGTAAATCTTCATCTGAAGTACAACAACAAAAATTTAGCATATAAATCATCTGAGTGTACACCTGCTTTTTAAAAAAAGAAACATTTTATTGTGTTTAAGGTAAAAGTTTATATAGCAGATTAGGTTCCCATTTAACAATTTCTACACAAATTATTCAGTGATATTGGTCACATTTTTCACAATGTGTCATTATTCTCATTCATTCCATTCTGGTTGTATCATTTCCATTAACCCAGTTTCCCTGCTCCCTTACCTTCTTTTCATCTTTGCTTTGGAATAATTTTTGACCATTTGGTCTCCTACAGATGATTTTTTAAAGGACTCATTACTCACGGGTAATGTTCTTTATTTTATGAGCCAATCTATTATTTAGCTAAAAGGCAATCTCAAGGGATAATTTCGGTTTAAGGTTTAAGAGGGTAATGGTCTTGAGAAGTCCTCTAGTCTCAATTGGTTCAGTAAGACTGGACTTTTTAAGAATTTGAGTGCTGTTCCACATTTTTCTCCCACTCTATCAGGATTCATCTACTGTCGCCCTGATCTGAACGGTCAGTAGTGGTAGCCAGGTATCACCTAGTTCATCTCAGGGTAGATAAGGCCGTGGTTCATGTAGATCATTCGTCCTGCAGACTATTTTCTTCTCTATGTCTTTGGTTTCCTTCTTTCTCTTTTGTTCTGGATGAACAGAGACCAACAGTTGTATCTTAGATGGATGCTCGCAAGCTTTTAAGACCACAGACACTACTCACCACTTTGGGATGTAGAACATACACTTTATGAACTATATTATGCCAACTGACTGAGTTGTCCCATGAGACTAAGGTCCTAAGCCTTCAAATCCAGAAAACCAATCTTGCAAGGTGTTTGATTATATTTAAAAAGTATCCATAACTGTGTCCCCTATGTGGTTTATTGCATATATTAATACACATTCATGCACACACATACCTGTATGTACATGCCAATAGATACATCTATCTGTGCACACATATGTACTCACATATTCATACCCATAAATATATATATATATATATATATATGCCTGTATACATATTTGTGTAATCACACACATATTTTTTGGTTGTTGCTGCAAAATTGTATTTGTCATATCCTTTACCAAAAATGTCCTTTTCTTACTGACATCATTTATCTTGGTCAACCTGCACATGGCTCACTTTATTCTTATACATGATTTGCCTAATCCCTGTAGACACTTGAGATTGTTAACAACTTCAGACAATATAAAACCACTGAAGGTTTTAAGGGGGGGTGTGTGACAAAATCAGTCATTTATAAAGAACTTCTTTGGCTATAGTGTGAAGGATGAGTAGAAAAGAAGAGCCAGCTTCAGATCTGAACAGATTTCAAATTTGTAAATGTTGAAAATTTGAACTGAGTGATGGCCGTGGTAATGGAGAAGAGGATACAATTTTGAAAAATCTTAGAGAGGCAGAACTTGCATAACTTAATGAATAGTTAACAGTGAGTTAAAAGTGAAAAGAAATGACAGCATGACTGGCTTAGGCTACTGGGTAGCTTGCATGTCATCAACCAAAAGAGAGAAAATAGATTAAAAAGGTTTGAGAAATAAAATGGGTTTAGTTGGAATCTGCTGAATTGGAGGAGTCCACAGTATATTCAGATGAAGATGTTCAGGAGGT